GTTATTACACTTCATTTTGGTTTTTTTTTCTGCTTTCAATTTTATACTTAGCGATGACCATTTTTCAGATTAAATTAACAGCCATTTTTGATCCTATGAAAAAATTAAAAAAATATTAAAAGAAAGCTTTTTCTCTGATTGAAATTTTCTTAACATTTTCCGTTTCCAATGCCTACAGCCTCCTTTTTGTCACAGAATCGCAAGGCCTTCAGGTCATTTTATTTTAAAAGGATTTTATTTTTCTTCAGAAGGATAATTTTGGGACATTGTCTCCTTTCAAAAATAACCTGAAAAGCAGACTAAAAAAGAGTAGGTTTATTGTAAATTGCTTCTCAGGAATAGGGTGGGATGAAAGGTCAGAAATTTGAGATTCTCTTGTATTTAAACTGGAAAGGATAATGTTAGTGAATTAAAAGTCAAGACAAAAACTCTGTAAGAAAGCAAAGCCTGTGAAACATATTTATGAAAAGTTAATTCTGTTTCTGATAATATTTCTCTTGTGTTTCCTTACATAGTGCCTTATAGGAATTCAGCTTAGAGAAGAAAATGGCTTAGTGTTGTCACCACCCTTTTAGATAATTCTTTTTGTGCACAGAATCATAGAGTGCTTTGTGTTCGCAAGGACCTTTGAAGAACCTCCTTGCCATGGACAGGGACATTTTTCACCAGCCCAGGTTGCTTAAAACCCCATCCAACCTGACCTTGAATACTTCCCATGACAGGTCATCTACAACTGCTCTGGGCAACTCCAGGGTAATTGTAAAAAATTTCTTCATATTCAATCTAAATCTAATGTCTTTCAGTTTAAAACTGTTGTCCCTTGTCCTGCAGACCTTGATTAAAAAAATATCTATCTGTCTTAAAAGCCCCCTTTAGATATTAAAAGACCACCACAACGAAGTGTCCTCAGAGCCTTCTCCAGGCTGAACAACTCCAGCTCCATTGCAGAAGGCCACTAGATTAGTCTTGTTTTGCCCATTGGTGAAGGCATGTTGGCTGTCTCCAATCACCTTACTGCCTTCCGTATGTTTTGACATGTGTTCCAGGAAAATCTGCTTCATGATCTTACTAGGCACAGAGGTGAGGCTGTTTTGCTGGTAGTTCCCATGGTCCTTATTTTACCCATTTAAGAAATGGGTGCTTCTTTTTTTTTCCAGTTATCAGTATTTTGCCTGACTGTCATGACTTTGCAAATATGATGGAGAGTGGCCCAACAGCCACATCAGCCAATTCGCTCAGGATGCTTGGATGCGTATTGTCAGTTCCTACGGAGTAGTGTACATTCAGTTTCCTCAGGTGGTCTCAGACATGATCTTCACTTAATATAGTAAAGAATGCATTCCCAGAGTCCCTTCCTTGAGGCTCAACGACCTGAGAGATATGGGAAGAGGGATTACTAGGGAAAACCAAAGCAAAAAAGTTGGTGGGTACCTCAGTCTTTTCCATGCTTGTTGTCACTAGTTCCCCTGTCTTATTTACCAACGGGAGTACATTTTCTTTAATCTTCCTTTTCTAGCCAACATACTTCTAGAAGTCCTTATTCTTTGCATCCCCTCTCAAATTCACCTCAAACTGTGCCTTGTCTCTCCTGATCCCATCCCTACACATCTGTGCAGCATTCCCAGGTTCTTCCTATTATGCATGTCCCTGGTTCCACTGCCTGTACATTTCCTTCTTAAACTTTAGTTTGACCAGTAAGCTCTTACTGAGCCATGATGGTCTCCTGCCTTCCTACACATTGGAATCAACAGATCTTGTGTTTTAAGAAAAACATCCTTAAAGAACTGACAGCTCTACTCAGTTCCTTTATCCCTCAGGCATCTTTGTGCACTGCAATAGGGTGCAGACAGTTAAAAATGTAAATCAAATATTTATTCATGAGCACACAGAAAAGTAAACAGGATTTGGGCATTTCTGTACTCATCACCCCTGATAAGACAGCCAAGAAAATTTGCTGGCAGTGCTGGCGTAAATCCAGAGCAGTTCCACTGCTCCCTGGATGAATGCTTAGCATTGCTGTTTTCCCATCTTGCACTAAGTCTTTTGGCACTAATAGAACTGATGACACTGATCAGTGACTGACTGCCCTGCTGTTTTCTTGTTTCTTTCTTTTTCCTTTTTTTTTCTTTTTTTTTTTTTTTTTTTAATTTCCACTGACATTATTTTATTTCAGTTTATTTTTCTGAAATTCTCTCATGGGGCACATGTGCTGCTCTTCACAAGACCTCTCTGAGGAGGCACAGCATATTACAATGGCAAGAAGGTCTCCTGACATACTGGAACGGACAGGGCAGGAATAAGAAGGCTGAATGGACTTCCATAACCAGTACCTAGGGTCTTTTGTTGATGTTGGGTTTGATACTCACTTGAAGTATTGTGTACAGTTCTGGTGTCCTCAACATAAGAAGGACATGGAACTGTTGGAGCAACTTTGGAGGAGGGCCACAAGGATGATACGGGTGCTCGAGCACCTCTTGTATGAAGACAGGCTGAGAAAGTTGGGACTGTTCAGCCTTGAGAAGAAAAGGTTGCATGGAAACCTCATAGCAGCCTTCCAGCATCTGAAGGGTGACTAAAAGAATGCTGGGGAGGGACTTTTCATCAGGGACTGCAGTGATAGAACAAGGGGTAATAGGTCATATGATAGCCTGAAGGCCAATATAGACATACATCTCCACAGGAGTATCTGAAGACACAGAGTATTCTGGAGAATCCCCTAGCCTGAATCTAATTCTGCCTCTGCAAACTTCTTACTTTTTGAAATATTTACTTAAGATCTTTAGCAAAAAACATAACAACTGGTATTAAAGGTTTATCATTGGGCAGAGTTGGGCAGAGAAGAGATTCAGAGCGTCTCTGTGGGGAAGGACTTGGGGGTGTTGGTCGACGACAAAATGAACATGAGCTGGCAGTGTGCGCTCGCAGCCCAGAAAGCCAACCGTATCCTGGGCTACATCAAAAGGAGCGTGACCAGCAGGTCAAAGGAGTTGATCCTGCCCCTCTACTCTGCTCTCGTGAGACCCCACCAGGAGTATTGTGTGCAGTTCTGGGGTCCTCAACATAGAAAGGACATGGAACTGTTGGAACAAGTCCAGAGGAGGGCCACGAGGATGAACAGGGGACCGGGGCACCTCCTGTATGAAGACAGGCTGAGAAAGTTGGGAATGTTCAGCCTTGAGAAGAGAAGGCTGCATGGAGACCTCATAGCAGCCTTCCAGCGTCTGAAGGGTGACTACAAGGGTGCTGGGGAGGGATTTTTCTTCAGGGACTGCAGTGATAGAACAAGGGGTAATAAGTTCAAACTTAAACAGGGGAAGTTTAGGTTGGGTATAAGGAAGAAGTTCTTTACTTGAGGGTGGCGAAGCACTGGAACAGGTTGCCCAAGGAAGCTGTGAATGTTCCATCCCTGGCAGTGTTCAAGGCCAGTTTGGGTAGAGTCTTGAGTGACATGGTTTAGTGAGGGGTCTTCCTGTCCATGGCAGGGGGCTTGGAACTAGATGATCTTAAGGTCCTTGCCAACCCTAACTGTTTTACGATTCTGTGATACTATGAGCATCCATTTCCCAGCTATTCCTCCTCTCCCAGTACCTGGGAAGCAAATACAGATTGCAAGACAGCAGAAAGAGCAGCGAGTCAGGTTTACCCAGTAGGTACTTGTTTTTAGAAATAAAATCAGAATTGCATATTTTTTTGAGTGCATACATAAGGCACATAGTTCATAATTCAGTCATCCCAGCATATTGTAATTTGGAATGACAACCTAGAGGGCATTAGTCAACTTGGGTGCTTTAGATCATTCCGGTTTGCTCCAGTTTGCTCCAGTAGGTAAAAACCATCCATAGGGATGAGGGAACATGTTCCAACTCCCTTGCTACCCATCTTGCTGCCCCTTACTGGAGTAAGGGCATGGGAACTTTAGTTTTCATTCAACCCTTTGCTCTCAATATCCTGTATGGGTCTGGAGTTTTATTTTTCCCTGAGGAAGATGAGGAGTCTTTCCTATCATTGCCAGCTAATAGGGAATAGCTTTTAATTCATCAGCTAGTTTTTAGATGAGGTAGATTTGAAGTGGCTGTCCCCTTGTAACTTACCAGTTCTTTCTAACTTTTCCAGGTGACAAGATACAATCTCCTTTCCATAAACAGAAGTTCCTTACACTCTTTAAATTATTCTCTTCCTAAGAGAGTCTGTGGTATGGCAACATGGCCAAGAGATGTGGGGCTTTGGTACTAAATGTGAGGAAGGATGGAATGAAAGCATACCAAGATCACAGAAATACTGACCAATGGCCTTCTGGGCAAAAGTAGTGCTTTTTTTTTTTTTTTCTCCTCAGATTTTTCTCAGGCAGCAGAGCTCATGTGGGGAATCGAAGCAGTAAATGGGCACCTCCAAGGGCAGAGTCAGAAAACGCTGATGAAGCCATGAGGGCAGGAGCAGGCAGGACTTGGCTCCTGGGTTTTTCAGAACTATGCTGTAAAAAGGGTCATTGCTAGCGCAGGAGAGAGGCCCCTTTCTGGCAACTACAGTGTTGCTTTGGTCCCTTCTCAACACATGTGATACCCTCAGAGCATGGGACATTGACAGAGAGGTGCAGTGCCCCCTTGCCAGGCAGCAGGACTCGGCAGGGAGCCTGGGAAGCTGGGATATGGTGCTTTCCAAAACCCAAGCAGCGGCATCCCTCACTTTGCCATGCAAAAACTACAGGTTGGCAGGCAATGCTGGGGTAGCATGTTTCTCCTGACACACATGTTCCCCTGAGGCAGGACCATCCTGTGCACCTCAGGAATGTTTCCTATACTCAGAGCTTGGCAAAAAGATGGAACACAGGCTCTGCTACATACCTGGGTGCCTCGTTCTTCCCCTGCTTGAATTTCTTCAGTTGGCCATCCCTGAGAGCTCAGTTTTGCTCTTCTTCTGGGATGGTGGCCTGTCACTGCCCTCTTCCCAGGTTGCTCTTCTTCCGCGAAGAGCCAGGGAACCTTTCCATTCAACAGTATTGCTAGACAGGTGAAGCCATGATCAGCTTGAACCAAGCAAAGCCAGGCAGTTTTACCTTCTCTCCCCAGAAAAGCTCCTCTGCTGTTCTCTCTCAGGAGCGATGGGAGGCACCTGCAATGGCAATGTGCAGGTTAGCAGGGGGCAAGGGCCTCCCTGCACAATTGCTACCCTGGCTCTAAAAGGCACATCCCTTGGATGGGTTTGCTCAGCTCAGCTGAGCCAGCTGTGGTGGGATCACCTCACAAAGCGGGATGGCCAACCTGCATCAGCCTTGCTCTGTACTTTGGCAGAGCTGCAGGCTGGTGGATGACCGTGCTTGTCCTTTCAGCAGCAGCCCCACCTTCTGAGAGGGGAGGCTTTTGTCACACTGCTTGTGCACTTCACTTACCTCTGCTGTTTCCAGCTCTGCTTGTGGTGCTGGTGTCTCCTCGTCTCCCTTGCTGGCCAACCCGGCCACCTGCTCTCCAAGGAGCTCCTCATGGTGGTCGATGAGGAACTCAACAAGCTTCGTCACCTGCACAGAGCAAACCACTGGTTTCACTGAGGGGGCTGATGAGGGCTCAAATAGCCTTTCCCAGCCTGACCCGCACTTCTGTGCAGGAAGGTGCAGCTGTGGGGCTGCTCTTCCTGGCTGCCGCCCCATGGCTTTGCTGATGGGAGGAGGCAGCCAGGACCCTCCGAGCAGCAAAGCTGGGCTGGGCTTGGAATGCTGTAGCCAGATGGTGAACACAGCGTACCTTCCCTGTCTCCAGAGCCAGGACATCCAGGGGCAGCTCCTGGGGTGGGCTCAGGAGGTTAGTTGCCAGGCAGATGGCCAGGTTTCCAGCCGTCATCTTGGTTGTGGCCACGTTCCTGCTAATGCTGCTAAGCAGCGACAGCAAGTGCCGGAGCAGGAGCAGGTTGGCCCCTGGTAACTTGCTGGCCATCCTGAGGGAACAGAAGCACAGTGTTAATGAAGCCGGTGTTGACAACACAGGTCTCCCAGGCTGATCTCACCCAAGGCCACTGCTTGCTCTACAGCAGAGGGACTGCCTTTGCTGAGATGCGGCCACCTCCTTCCCTCCCTGCCCTTCTGAAAAGGGCCCTTGTTGGAACCAGCCCCAATGCCTGGGGGAAGTGCTCCCTGGAGAAAAAAGCCTTTTGGTGCATCTGTCCCCCCAAGCATAAACCCCACAGCAACAGGAGGTGGCTTGCAGGAGCCATGGCTATTTCAGGCAGGCCACTGTTTTGCATTGGAGTCCCAGCCTGTGCCAGTCCCTGCTGGCTGCTGCAACACTTACTCTTTCAGGGCTGCCAGCCTCTCCTGCCTGCTGGTCTTCTCCATAGCATTCATCCACTCCTCAAACAGCTGGACACTGAGGAGCTTGGAGGGGATATTCCGGAGGAGGTCCTGCAGTGCCAAGGGCTCCACGTGAGGCTTTGGCCACTGTCCCCAGGAGCATTTGCAGCATCCCCAGCCCTCTGGCTCATGAGCAGGTGGCTGAGTTTCTGCTTGTGCTCCCGCAGGTGCCCATCAGCACCAAGAGAGCCGGGAGCTGCAGGGCTCTGGGTCAGCAGGGCTCACCTTCAAGAGGACAGCCAGCAGCAGCACAGGCTGGTTTTCCAGCTGCACTGGCACCCCGCTGTCCAGGGCGTCCCTGACCTCACGGCAGGCGTGCTGGCTGACTGCCAGCCGGAAGATCCCCTCCGTGGATGGGCCATGCTCCTTGAGCAGAGCCAGCAGGTCCTGAGGGCACAGAGGAGGAGAGTTGCTGGGCTGGGGACAGGTCCTGAGGTAGGTGCTGGAGACAGCCTCTCTAGGGAGGAGCCTGACGGATGGGATGGGATGGGATGGGATGGGATGGGATGGGATGGGATGGGATGGGATGGGGACCCCCCAGCCAGGCGGGCTCACCTGGATGGGCTGAGGCAGCATGCGATCCTGGCTGCACAGATCTGCCAGGGGCTGGCCAAACAGAGCTCCCACACGAGCAGGGCCTGATGGCCCCCGTGCCGCTACTGCAGCCAAGGTGCCTGGCCATGCAAATGGCCAGGGCAGCTTCCTCTTGCTCCTGCTCGTCCCGCCTGCTGCCAAAGGAAAAGGAGCAAAGAGCCATGGAGGAGAAGCACCAGGACAGCATTCCCAGACTCCCTCAGTGTTGCCCCCTCACCACCGAGGGCACGAGAGAGGCAGCATCATTTGGGAGTGAGGGGCCCCAGTGCTCAGCTCCCTCCTGCCGCAGAGTGATGGGGATGGACGTGTCCTGCAGGAAGGGCAGCGGCAGCCCCATCGCAGCACGCGTGCCCGCCTGCAAGAGCAGGAGAGAAGGGCCATCCTGCCCCTGTCTTCTCCACACTCACCATCCACGTGGCCACATCTGCCTTCACTACCGGAGGGGCCAGGAAGTGGCAGCTGCCTGGCACCAGCCTGCAAGAAATGGGCTGTGCTCACCAAGGAGCCCCACAGCAGAAAGAGCCCCTGGAGAGCTGCATCAGCCTCTGGCTGTGTGTGAGAGGTGGGAATGGGTGAGATTGCTCCTCAAGTGACCCTGACCTTGGCCTGGCGCTGGAGCAGCTTCTCCAGGCTGCCGGCATCCAGTGTCGTCCCCTGGGCTAGGGGAAAGAGCAGAAGGTGAGGAGTGATGATGCAGCTGATGCTGGGCTGGAGGAGCCCCTGGGGACAGAGCAGAGGCAGGAGGGACACTCACAGCATGGCGGCCACTCAGCTCCTTCAGCAGCAGCCTTATCCGTGGCAGCTGGGTCACCCGGGCTCCCTGAACTCCTTCGGGTGGTCTGTGCATGGGGAAGGGGGAGAGAAAGAGCTGTGTGAGACCCAAGCCAGCTCTTCCCTCTGCTGCCAGCCTGGGGAGTGCTTCCACACTGCCTGGAACAGCCAGGACTGCCTGGCAGTGGAGCGGGAGCAGCAGCAGTGCCGAGGATGGGGCTGGGCAGGTGTTGTCTGGACACAGCTGGATGAAGCATCTCTGCCAGCTGTGCCTGCTCGGCAGTGGTGACACCTCTGCCTGCAGCTGTGGGGGCACCTCTGCCTGCAGCTGTGAGCAAACCCCTGCCCAGCTCAAACAAGGTGTTTCAGCATCCATGCCAGACATGGAGCATCCCCCCCACGGTGGGTGCTCTGGCTGCCCAGGCTGTCCATGCTGCAGTGCCCGAGAGGGCTTACCCAAGGAGGGCGCTGACCCAGATCTCCTTCACTGCCCGGGAGCTGCCAAAAGAGAGGAGAAACAGCCTGAGCGCCTGCTGTGCCCCAGCAGATGATGCCCAGTGGGACAGACCAGAGGAGCTGCCCACCCCTCTGGTGCATCCAGCACCAGGGTGCCGGGGCCCTGGGGCTGCTTGTTGGCTGTCCCTGCTCTGGTGCCCTGGTGCCAGGGCCAGGGCTTGGGAGGAAAGGCAGTGGGCTCTGGCTGTCTTACTTGGTCTTGGTGATGACCAGGGTGTCTCTGAAGAGGAGGAGGATCCTCTTCTTCCTCTGGCCACGGCCCTGGCTCACCCGCACATGTTCCCTGAGCAGCGGCTCAGGCAACGCCGGGTTGGTCTCACAGTGCTCGTCGGGTCCAGGGTCATCACTGCAGGGCAGACAGCACTGGGCATGAGCAAGACGGCTGCTGCAAGGTCTTGCTGTGCTGGAGCATCCCCGAGCTGTTGGGGTACCCACCTGGACCCGCAGCAGCAGAGCCACTGCCCCATCCTGAGCAGGCTGGGAGAAGACGCGCGCGTAAGAAACTTGTGGGAAAACCACGAAGATGGGAGCGCTCCTCTACAAGAGGTTGGCACCCCCAGTGCCGCTGGTGCTGCCACTCGCAGCACCGCCCGTGCAGGCCCTGGGGCTGTTGCTGGGCCAGCACCGGGTTAGTACGGAACACCAATGTGACCTCAGTTCTGGAACCCAGGGGCCCAGATGGGGCGGAGCCCTGTGGGGCTCTCCCCAGGATGCCCATGTCCAGCCCCAGCCCCAAAGACTGCTCCCTTACAACTGCAGTGTCCACCAATGGAAAGTCATGGCTCCTGCAGCCATGGTCTTCCAACTCCCAGGACCTGGGTAGCCTGAAGACTGAGGCAATGTAAAAGCATTAGATGCCTCTGTCTTTTTGTCATCCCCACTTTTCAGTGGCCGTCTTCGTAAAGTATCAGTCCAATACTTTCGTTAGGCCTCCGCTTGTTATTAGCATGCTTCAGAGAAAGCCTTTTGTTGTAGTCTGATGGCACACTGACCAGTTTCATCTCTAGTTGAGCTTTGGCCTTCCCTAGTGGCTCCCTCCATGTGTGAGCCGCAGCTCAGCAGTCTTCCTGAGAAGCTCGACCTTGCTTCTAGAGAGCGCACAGTTTCTGTTCCCGCCCCAGTTCCAGGAGGAGTTCCAAGCTGCTCTTCTGCTGCACCTGCTTGACTCCCATTGACACCGTTTTATTTCAGTTTCTTTTTCTGGAATTCTGTCATGGGGCGCACATGCTGCTTTCTCCACAAGACCTCTGTTGGGAGGCACGGGGTATATGGCAAGAAGGTCCCCTGAGATTATTATGATTATGTCTCTTTCCATGCTGTTTTTCATAGAATCGTAAGATAGGGTTGGAAAGGACCCTTTTTCTTCTTGAGTACTCGAGATAGATAGAAATGATTGCTATCTCTGTCCTGTTTCTGTCTGAGATTTTACCTTTCTTACCTTTCTATGGACTTTCTAACAACCTCTTCCTCCACACAATTAACAGTCTTCTAGTGTCTGAAGACAGCCCAAAAGGATGCCTACTGTAGGCCCCTTCAAGGGGGACCATTGAAGGGACTATTCATTCCATCAGCAGATGGAAGCTGGGGGAATTTACAAAGGAGCAGGGGGAATTTACAAAGGAGCAGCAAGGAGATAAGCTTACAGTGATAATCAGAAGTCAAATATGTTAAATTCTCACATCCAGGCAGTGAATTCTTCTGAGAAGATTAGATTCACCATCTAGACCTAAATGTGAAACCTTGTAAATTTGTGTATATACAGTTTATTTCCATTTATTGAGAGGTATGACGCCAGCATATAGGTTCATAACAGGAGACAAACTCTGTGGCATTTCTGTAACTATTTAAAAGTTTGATTTTCTCACTTTTAGGCTAGGTACATACCCTTTGCAAAACCAGTGCCAAAATGAAGGCAATGGATCTGTTGGAACTTGAATTCATTTAGCAATATATTCAGCTATCTGGGTTTCGGTGCTATCTGCATCATTGGGTATTACACTTTTAACTGATAGAGCTTCATATCAGAGAGAAGGCACTAAAGAAAGGATACCGCAGATGCATAAGTTCTGTTAGAGTAGTCAATACTGCCTGAATGCAAAGATAAAGCAGATCTCTGTCCAGCAACTTGAGCTGGAAGTGATTAAAGAACATGACACCCCTTTCCTCCAGTTCACAAAGGTGAAGGCAGGATTGTGCTCATGCGGTTTCTGAGTAAAAAAGGCACGGTATAGAAACAATTTTTTTTTTTTTTTGTCAAGGATAAACTGAAGCACTGAGCTATTTGTCTTCATAAAAAAGAAAGAAAGTCCCTGAGAGAAAGAAACTATATTGGCTCCTTTCCAGCTATACTTCTGTGATGAGGGTGGCTATATTGTGGTCACTGAAGAGCTTAAAACTGGGATTTTAAAAACCCAGACACAATTATTGGATCAGGAGTTCAGACTGGCCTGTGCCTAAAATGATGCTCAACATCAGCTAGTTGATTTATGTGAGCACCTTTTACAATGAAAATTCATCCTTTTTGTACGGTGAAACCATGTCCAAATTATAAAGTTGGTAGTCCTTTATAAGCATTTTCCACATTTAGCTATAAACGGTTTTCCAGGTGAAAAGAGTAATTTTGTTCTACTGGCTGGACCAGAAACAAACAAAAAGATGATCTTACGCATATTTGAAAATAGAACATTGCGATTTGTAGCTGGTGTTTGTATATTGTAATACTGTTCAAAACTAGACTGAGCACCCTAAGGCAAGACAAGAAAGCAATTTATTTAGCTGACATAGTCTCTAAAAGGCCAAGGAAATTTTACATTTTTTGTGAAGTATTGATACCAGCCTAAATTAAAAATACATTTGAGAAAAGAAGGTCTTATCTAGAGTCTTCTTAAATTATTTTGCATGGGCAAAATGAGCCTTAAGTATCTGTTTAAAACAAGGAAACAAAATATGACCTATCAGCATTCAGTGAGTATTTTGTCCTTTTCCAGGAGGGATGGGTATAAATATCCATTATTCTGTGGCTGAGGTTTTGTCTTGGGCTTTGTGTTTTGTTTTTTTTTGTTTTCGTTTGGTTTTTTTTTTCAATTGAGGTTAGTCTCCATTGATTCTCAAAAATGGTAAGGATTCGTAGTAGATCTTCTAATGATTTTGTAAATGAATCATAGTAAAATTTTATATACATTTTTATAAAAGTTCAGAGCATTGGAATATTTGTTACATTTTTCAGGAGTGTCAAATATTCTATCTGCTGAAGCCTTCTCCATTTTCTTCTAAAGAAAAAGTAAGTAACCTAAATAAAGACAAATCCATAATCAAAATTTCTGCTGTGCACTCAACTACCGTTTGAATAACATACACCTGAAAGACAGGAATGCACTTTGAGAAATGATCTAATCCAAACCGAGCTATTAATTCTAAATCCTTACAGTCACAGTCAGAGACATTTGACTAATCTGTCCCCTTAAAATGTCTTGTAAAGAAGACTGAGATTGGCTTTCCCAGTACTTCAGTACCCTTTCCATCACAGTTTTCTCCTGCAGTTTTCCATTTCCTTCATGGCTATTTGTTATCAGAACATAGGTGTTGTCAGCCTCTTCTCTGAAAGAGTATGACCGAACTCCTCATGCTCTAATATCTGATTTAAAACAGTATGAGCATGGGAATGAGATTTTCAGCCAGAATAATGGAGTTCATACCCAGACAGCCTCATGAGGAATTCACCTGCCTGAGCATGTCTGTTTAGCATCATTATTGATGCCCTAATAATTTCTGACACATCTGCAGGTGCTTGAAAGATAAACCACAGAATTGAGGAAAGACCTGTGGCTTTCTTGGTGGCAGCTGGAGACTGGACAGGGTTTAATAAGGCAGAGAAAATGCAATAGAAATTAGGTTTTAGAGAACTAAGTCTTGCCTACAATATCTAAAATGTATCTACTTACGAGACTGGGAATCTAAATTGTGTCTAGAGTGGTCTCTACTTCCTCATGAGACTAGACTACATTGACTGTACTGGTGATCTCCAGTAACTATGGTAGAGATCTAGTTGCCTAGCTCACATGTAGATATGTGTATTGACTTTATTAAATTCAGGTGAAACAAATCCCACCCCATTTACCCTAATCACAGAGCCTTAGGTACATTACAGTGAGCATATGCAAGTCACCTGGGTTTTGACATACTGTCTGGGATTGCACTTTAGTGTAAATCCCAAAGCCCAGAATAGGATTCTCAAGCAAAGGAGTTTATTTTTCATGTTACCAGAGGCCTCACTGCTATATGAATGCCTTAAGGAAGATAAAGCTAGTTATAGCACACGTATTAGCAGCAATCAAAAATTATGATAGGTAACACCTCTAGTTATTCAGCTAGATCAAAGAAAGCCAATATTCAAAACCTGCTCTGCTTTGAAAGATTGTGAACATGAATGTCGGTCTTCTAAGTAAAGTACCTAAACACTGTCAATGGGAAGTGCAACTATTCCAACCTGAAAAACAACAAAGTGCTTGGTTTTTACATGCCTTCAGATGTAAGAGATGTGAGTTTAAATGATTAATACAAATCACTTGAAATAAAAATATCACAGTTGAAAATAATATTCTCAAGGCCAAGCCTGCTGGTCCAACTGAATAGCTGGTATTAAAAAAAAAAAATTGAATTAAGGACAATAGCAGGTTACTTATTCTTTAATATGATGACTGCTACATGACTGTTCATAATGGCCAATAGTCCAGCAATTCATAGAATCATTGAATCATAGAATCATAGTATAGCTAGGGTTGGAAAGGACCTTAAGATCATCTAGTTCCAACCCCCCTGCCATGGACAGGAGCACCTCCCACTAAAGCATGCCACCCAAGGCTCTGTCTAGCCTGACCTTGAACAGTGCCAAGGATGGAGCATTCACAACTTCCCTGGACAACCTATTCCAGTGCCTCACCATCCTTACAGTAAAGAATTTCTTCCTTATATTCAATCTAATCTTCCCCTGTTTAAATTTGAACCCGCTACTCCTTGTCCTGTCACTACAGTCCCTAATGAATAGTTC